AACACACACACACACACACACACACACACACATGCCATAAATATACAACCACATATGCACACGCTGTCTGAAAAATTCAAAAGACATTATTGTGTTTCTAATCCACTTCATCAGTTTACACTAGTCTCATTAGCATTTTTTTTTTTCAGAGAATTTGGTGTTATTGTAGTATTATTTATATACTATAGTAATGTAGTATTTATTAACATTTTGAATTATCATTTTCAATTTTATTTTTTATGTTATTTCTAGTCCACTTCATCAGTTTAAGTTTTAGTACTTTTGTAATGTGAATTGTTTTTTTTTTTGTTCAGCTTTTCAGCTTTTAATTTCTAGTCCATTTCATCCGTTAAATTTTTTGTAATATTGTTATGTGGTTTATTTTTATTTTATTTAACTTTTCACATTTTATTTCTAGTCCACTTCATTGGTTTCAGTTTTAGTCATTTTTTTCTGTGATTTGGTTTTATTTATTTTTTTCAGCTTTTATTTCTAGTCCATTTCATCTGTTTAATTTTTTGTATTATTGTTATGTGATTTATTTTTATTTCAGATTTTATTTTTAGTCCACTTCATCAGTTTACACTATTATCTAATTAGCATAACACTAAACAGTGTTATTTTATTATTATTTATGTACTATTATAATATTAAATCATATTTTGAATTCTCTTTTATTGTTATAATTTTAGCTTTAATTTTAAAGTTAAAGTTTTAGTAATTTTCTTATGTTCTTAATATAAGTATTTTTAATATAAATATATATATATATATATTTAAATATTACTATTATCAATAATTTATTTTTATTGCCGTTTTAGTTCTTTTAGTGCTTAAACATATTTATTTCAGTTAGTTGCCAAGAAAACATTTCTCATTTTTATTTATTTATTTATTTTGATGTTTAAGTTCTTCCAGTTTAAGTTTTTCATCTAATATATTTATATTTTATTTTTAATTTAGCTTTATTTCAATTACTGCAAATGTTTTTTAATGGCTTTATGAGTAATACATGCTAATAATTACTGCATTTGCAGTATGTAACACTGCAATACTGTATCCCACAATGCACTGCACTCAACATGACCATCCATTCCAGTGTGAAGAGTGAAAATGTGTTTTAACGGTTCCCTTTCGACTTATATTTTGATCTGGCTTCCAAAACATTTTTTTTTTTTTTGCAAAATTGGATTAAAATTTAAATTCATCAATATTTATTCCCATAATGAAAGTCATGTGACAACAATATGAATGCAACTGCAGTGCATATGTGGATTTTTTGCAGTTATTTTCTAGTTTCACTTGTATGTCGGCTGTATCCCAGCATGCTCAGCGCTTCATATAGGTGAGGGATTTATGCCTCCGTGTCCGTGCATATGTTGAGCTTATCATAAAGACACATGCTATCAACCCGTCTGACCTGCTTCTGATCAGATCACGAACTCTTCACGTCCGTCTGTGTTTGCCGTAATCTTCTGCATTCAGCGGTAGATTAAGACATACAGCAGATGTACATGTGTGTACAGGTTCAATGCCAAATCCTTTGTTCATTTGCAAGCTCAGCTAGTGCATGCATTTATTCCAAGTAAAACTATTTTGCATATTTTATTATGCATATTTATAATATTTTGTGCCTGTTTCTCCGCATATGAAGTGACTGAGTCAGGGAAGACATTGCAGTCATAGAGAAGTCTGACTGCTGGAGGGTGGGGCAGATGAGACGTTAGGGGGAGGGGCTTAATGATTGGCCGCTCATGATGTGGCCGGAGCCAAGTCTGTTCTTAGCGCTGATGACCATCTGTACACAGATGATGACCTCCTTTCGTCTCACTGCAAACAAGCGGGAGGAAATCTGCTTAGTTTTCGCTCTTCAGTGTTATTTTAGTATCATTGAGACACTTTTAAAGTTTTTATTAATAGTTTTGAATTATTTTATTTTTATATTCTGTTTTCATTTTAATTTTAGTTAAAGTTTCAGTCATTTTGCTGTGTATTTTATTATTTTTTTTACTAATTGTCTTTATAGTTATTCATTTTTATTTCAGTTTTAAAATTAAATAAAATAAGTTTAAGATTTTATTTTTTTATTGCATTATCTATTTTATTTATTGTTTAATTTATTTGAAGTAATACATTTTTTTACGGTTTTAGTTTTAGTTAGACTTTTAGTTTAGACCTTTTTACCTTAATTCTGAATTTACATCTCGCAATTCTGATGTTTTTTCTTTGATTAATGATTAATTGCAAAGCCTAAACTCAAAATTCTGAGGAAAAAAGTCAGGATTCAGAGATATAAAATCGGAATTGCAAGAAAAAAAGTCTGAATTCTGAATTTACATCTCAGAATTGCGAGAAAAAAGTTTGAATTGTGAAATAAAAAGTCGAATATCTTCCAATTATTTGCATTAAAATATTCACTTTCAAAATCACTCTACTTCAGCTGACAGTGATGATGTCATTGTCACATTTGCATAATGATTTGTGATTGGTCACTGTCATCTTTGCTCAGTTGAAACAATTTATATTCAGAAAATATTAGCGAGCTGCTGTGAGCACTAGTGATGCAAACAGCACTAATAAGAGCTCATCCATAATGTGCACTATTGAGACGTTATGATGAATTAGGCGGCTGATAACATGCATTAGAGCAACACTCATTTTTCTTTTTCTGACATTTTCTGACATCTTCCTATTAGACAGCTCATATCACACACACACACACTGGCCGCGGGGCTCGTCTCGATTCATCTCAGCTGAAGTGCTGCCTGTTCATTTGTGTGTAAGAAGCCCAGAGTCCATGAGAGCATCATTTACTGCTGCTCAAAACACTGTGTGTGTGTGTGTGTGTGTGTGTGTGTGTGTGTGTTTGTGTGTGTTTGTGTGTGTGAGTGAGTGAGTGAGTGAGTGAGTGAGTGAGTGAGTGAGTGAGTGAGTGTGTGTGTGTGAGTGAGT